CTAGTAGCGTCCTTGCTCCTAGTAGCGATGCCAGGAGCCCCTAGTAGGCATCTGGCTCAAGCTGCCTTTGCCTCAGGGAGTAGTCTTGGCCCCCAGGACCGTGCTGCTGTCGCGAGACAGGGTGCGGAGTCGACTAAGGCTCGCATCCCCTTGCGGCCAGCCACGTGTCCTCGGCCTTTAGCATCCCGTGTTCCTTCGGTCCGCGAGCTTCATGGCTGACCTCCCGTGGGGTCCCTCACTGCGTGATCCAGACCTTGACCGTCGGGTCCTTGAGGTATTCAGGAAGTTTCCCCATGACTCTACATGTTGGACTGTTGGTCATCGATCGATGGTGGCGATCCTCGTTGACAAGGTCACCAATGACCAGATCTGCGGTTCGCTTTGCTCCCTGCAACATCGAGTTGGCTTGAACTGGGATGGAATGTTGCTGGCCGGTGCGAGTGTTCGCGTGCCGGGCTTGGACAATTGCTACCCGCTGGTGTGCTCGGGGGAGAAAATCCTCATTACCGGTGTCCAAAAGACTGCCTCGGTCGACGGACTGACTATCGAGCTGCAGAAGGGTGCTACCATTGTGCACTATCCCGAGGTCGCCTCTGAGCTCCACTGGAACTTGTTACACTTGTTTTCTGGTGGTTTCTGTGGATGGTCACAGGCAGCAGAATGGCTCGAGACAGCCAATGTTGGCTTTGTGGTTGATAAACAAATCTTCCTCGACTGGAACCCCACGGTTGTCAAGACATGCGCATTGAACCACGACGCACTGCTGGTCAAAGCTCCGTTAGACCCATCTCCGACTTTGTGACAGCCAAGAAGATTATCGTGGAGGGATCCATCGCGGACTTCACTCTCCTCCATGCTGTGAGGATGCCCTTTAACCTCGTCGAGACACTCAGTCCACCCTGTGTGTCATGGTCGAAGGGAGGAACAGGCGGAGGTCTTGACTCTTCGCATGGATTCGCTCTATTAGAGAGCGTTGAGATGATTTTTGCCACACAGCCCGTAGCAGCGTTGTTCGAATGTGCTGATGAGATAAAATCTCATCATCACTTTCATGTTTTCGGCGCCCTCATGACCCAAATCGGTTTTAAGCTGGCTTGGGAGCAAATCATGCCATACCACACCTCGCACATCACTACAGGAATCGATGGCTTGCCCTGTGGGTGAGGTGTGATGTCCCCGCCACTGAGGTCTCAACACTGTTCAAGTTGATGGTCCCACCAATCGTTCGCTGGACGGATGACAGGTATTCATTTACTCTGCCCAGGGAGATTCAGCATCAGCTGAAGTTGTCGCCTGATCAATTCCTCACCTATGGAGAACTTCAACTTCTGCCTCCGGGGAAACGTGCTAAGGTTCATCCCTCAGTGACCGCACTCCAGGTGATTCGGGCCCGTATTCCACTGCCGAATGAGCCTTTGGCGGCATCGTGCTCGTCATACACTCAGCAGCACAATCTTGATCGTGGCCATCTTGAGCGCAGAGGCATTTTCGCCAGTGTAGTGGAAAAGAACGGGGAATTCCTTTTCCTCGACCCAATTAGATTTGTTGCTCTGCTAGGCACAGTAACAGACATTGCCATCCCGCTTGACTTGGGCAAGGCATTTCACCAGATTGGGAACGCCATCAGTGTACCACATGCGCTGCTCAGTTTCCTGATCATGCTTTCGTCCATCACCAAACAGCAGCTCCCGATTCAGGAGTGCCTTCGCAAATGCTGGCTGAGCATGGCTGAGCCGTATCCATGCCGATGTGACTGTTGTTCTGGTTCACAACGACCACGTTTGGATCAGGAACATTGTCCAATTTGTTCACACGCTTCCGAAGCCCAAGTTCCATGTGATCTCACCCAATGCCAAGGTCACCTTTCTGGATGAAACTTTTCCAATCGAAGTCGGCCTACATCAGAACTTCAGGGAATTTGGTGCGATGCTTTTCCGGTTGCCCCTGCACCTGATGATGCAGATTCGTGTTGAGCATTTCTCACTACAGCCTAGCCCTACCGATCTTGTCCGGGACGTTTTGACCACTGAAGACGAGTGTGATATTTATCTTGGTGGTTACCTGCTATGCTCAGTTCGCGCGTGTGAGCCTGACCCGTTGCCAGGCTTGATTGAGGAACCTGTGCACCTTCATGGGGTCCCGACCTTTCTCCAAGGGTCTTCGTTATCGTTTGGACCTTTTGATCCTGAGGATTTGCTTTGCACTCAAGCAATCGAGAATCTTGAAAATCTCAACTGCACGACATCCTACCCAGGGAGCACCTTTGTCATTTGGGCCGGCAAGAACTTGTGGGCTTTCACGCCTTTCGATGGAACAGTTGACCAATTTGCCACACGCATTAAGACTGTTTTCGATCGCTTGGTTCCGACTAACTCAGCAGTTGTGATCCCACTTCACAAGAACTTTCGCTGGAGAACGGATACCCATGGCTTCATCATTCGTAATCAGGAGCAAAGCGGCTTTGAGGACTCGGCTACGGTGCTTTTTGAGACCCCACTTCCTGATGGCACCTCTGATTTTAACACCAAAAGACTCATGCCAAGTGCACAATGGACTGCCGATTCAACATCCGTGCTCCCCACAAGATGGGGATGTCTTTGTTACTTCGGCCAGTGTGATTCGAGCAGGCGGGGTACATGATGCCTGTAAGAAGCGACATGTCCTCCTTCCAGGAGCCACCTTTGCTGACCGTTGTGAGTTTGCCTGCAACACAGAGGGGTGGGCAGCGTCCGATGAGGTTTGGCATATTACATCCATCTTCAACTGGATGACTCCACACATTCAGTTCCTGACTCCTGTCTTCTGGGACTCTCGGATTAATGAGCTTGTGCCATGTGACGGACAGCAGTTCGGCTTCCCGAACAACTCTATTTCGATCCTCGCCGTTCTGATTGACAATCACTGGGCTGGCATTGAAGTCGTTCGCCTTGCTGAGGTAGTCCAGATCTTGTTTGTTCAAGTTCCAGCCGAGTTGCAGGTCCGCTTGCACCAAATCATTGCTCGGATCTTTGATCTTAGCCCTTCTATGATTTCCGTTACGGAGGTTTGGCCAGAGCAGACTTACAATTTGTGTGGGTGGACACTACTGAAGCGATGGAGTGCCATGCTGCCCTTTGAAGATTGGCACGAACCGGTCGACCTGACAGCTGTTCCACCTGCCAAGCTACAGGCTATCCAAATCGCCATCGAGGCTAGTCAGGAAGAATGGCGAGCATCTGATGCGGATCACACGCTCCTTCGGTTTGCCACCCAGTGTCGAACCAGGTTTCTTGCCTACTTAGCCAGATCGACCACCGCAGTTTCGTCGGCTATTAGTATGCCTTTGTCGACAAATGTCCACTCCATCGAGATCAATCCTGAAGTTCGGGCGGCCACAATGTCACCATTCTCTGGTGAGACACCCAGGCACTTGATCGATTACATCAATCGTCGCCTTGAGGACTTTCGCTGCGAGCCCACCTGGGCCGCCAGCGATGAGATCGATTTTGCTCTCGATATTGTCAGGCTGTATGCCTCGCATACGTTGATCATTACACCATTGGTTTGAGACCCTCATGCCGTCTCATTTCGGTCCATCACAGGTGTTCAGACACCACTTGCCGGCTTTACTGATTTTGTGGTGCCACTTCGTGTCGGCCGGCGCTGGGTTCAGTGCGATGTCTTTACCCAACGGCAAACGCTTTTCGTGCTGTTTACCAACTCACTGCCTAGTGATGTCAACCCACAGATCATAGCTGAAGCCTTTGGGCAATTGTTTGCCGTTCATGAGAGCAACGTGACCTTCGTCGCCAGTGATATAAGCACGCCTGATGGAATGTGCGGTTGGTCCCTTCTTAAGAGGCTGTTCGATCGTTACCGCATCCCGATTCCCACAGTCTCTACACAATTGACGCATGCCTTGTCGGAGTCCCAGTTTAGCCAGCTCCTTGCTCTGATTTTGGATCACGCAAACCCGGATTGGGCAGATGCCACAGAAGACACCAGCCTTCGCAAACTTGCTTTCTCAGTGCGTGTCAGCTTCCTGCGTCGCATTTTGTCCAAACCTGGACCTGCAGAATACATGTCAGCAGGGGCACAGGACGCCGATGCCACCATGACCCCGGCGGCACCGACTACAAGCCCGGTTGACCCTCTTTCGATCCACGATCCTTGGGCACAAGCAATTCGTCAATCATCAAAATGGGAAGACCTCAAGTTGCAGGTCGGGCACCCTTTTGTTGACTCAGCCAATAAATCCATCCCACAAATCCATCGCTTGCAGGCTTCGAAGAGCCGTGGGGGGGTTATTCTTGCTTCCAAAGGTGCCATCGCAGACATTATGAAATCACAACCTCCTGCACCATCCATCATTGTCATGCCCGCAGCTGATGTTGCCGTGTACGGCCCATTTGCCACGAGGGTCCATGGGCCATATGAGGTCGTACTTGATGATCCGAAGCAGAAATCCAGCTACAAGCGACTGGTTCAGTACCTCCTGCTTGAAGGAGACATCAAATTTGCTCTCCCAAAGCCGACGTGCTCGTTTACTACTCCGCCTGTCTCAGAGCTTGTCTTCGAGTTAGATTCACGCTGTGCAGACAAATCTCTGGTCGCTTTCGTGCAACAGCAGCCACTCAATCACTTTCGTGAGAAGGCTATCGAACTGCTCGGAGC